CCTCATGGGCTTGTCTTGATATTAGATAAGTACCAGCACTTTGCCTGGGATCCAGATAGGAATACTGTCCTCCTATCAGTTCTCTCCTGCTCTGGGTAAGACCTTTGTTGATCCCTCCTTCCTCCCCAATGCTGAGATGCCTTTGCCTCCCCTCTTTGCTTGCCTGTGTTAAATGGGGGATTTCTGGTAACATTCAGCTTGACAACTCCAGATTCCTCATTCATGAATTCTTTGGACCCTGAGAGACACATGAGCCTTGTCTTGAAGTTGAGGCTTGACTCACAATTGCACAAATGCACAATGGTATGGAGCCAGGGAGATGCACTGATTTCCCAGAGTCCCAAGTTAGGTGTGCAAATTAGCTCCCTACAGTTACTCCCAGACACTAGGAAATGGAGAGTAAATACCGGGAAGTGGCCACCACTTCTTGGACCTTGTGCCAAGGCTGAGTAGGGGAAGGGTAAGAAGGACTGTGGAGGGGGTACTGCCTCCCCAGAAGACAGATGCACTGAGCAAAGATGGAGGGACATGGCTTTGGGGCAGCCAGTGGGGCAGGCGGGTTGGGGATACTTTAGTCTCAAAATCACCTCCCCCCAAACTGGGTGCTCTCCATCAGCCGATCAGAGACCTTTCTTTCTGCTCCTGCCAATCCCCCCAATCCTTGTTCATGGCCCTTTTTCTAGAACTCCAAGCAATTCAACAACTGGGGTGGTTCCTTCTCCTCTCTCTCCAGCTCCAGGTATAGGCGAAGATCCATCTGGAGCCTCAGGGAGCATCCAGTGTAACCCCCTTCATCTGCAGGGGAGGAGACTGAGGAAAGGGCCTTCAGGGTGCAAAATGAGTCAGCGCAGAACTAAGACTAGGCTCAGGACTCCTGTTCCTCAGCTGTGGGGGGCCCAGGGCTTTGCCACTTAGAGTGTACACAGCTCATCTGTCCATATGCAGGGCCCTGCCTGACTCCTGGTCAGACTCCTTCCCCATGAGCCAGAGGTAGGATGGACCTCCCTGTACACAGCAGACCTGGGGACATTTCTGGCTTAGGTAGTCCCACACTCCACACATAAGGAGGCGTAAGGAGGAAGGAGGAAGATAGACTCCTTAAGGTCAGGTGTCTTAGGGCACTGACTCCTGGAGACAGGTAGAGTGGGAGGCAGGACCTCCCTAAGTGCACTGCATTTACCAATAAATCATATGAGATGGGTGTTATTACCCTCATTTTCTCTGTGGAAAAACTGAGGCCTAGAGAGGCTAAGCCATTTCTCTAAAGTCACACAGCAATGGAGCTCAGATTCAAGGCCAGGCACTCTTATAGAATTCAAGAGACCATGGCACTGTCTCATGAGCTCCCCTCTTCTCTCAAGGCTGCCATGGCCCCCTCCTCCAGGCAGACTGCCAGTCTTCCCTGACAAGTAAGTTGTGATGTGAATGCTGGCTTTAGAACTCCGTTCTAATCCAAGTTCCACTGCTTCCCGGCACGGACTTGGGACTGTGGGCAAGTCGTGTCTTCTCTCTGAACCTCATTTTCCACCTCTGTAAAGTGGGCATAATATTACATACCCAGTAGGTTTGCTTTGTGGATTAGCCATGTTAATACATGAATACCACCTGGGACAGAAAAGGCAGGCCTTTGTCAAGATGAATAGAACTGACCACTGACATTCTGTAACTTTAATTTAATACAAATTCATCATAACTCACAAAATGGGAAACATTTAAAATAAAAATACTGCTGGGGGGGTGGCCCAGCTTCTGGTAGATGAAGGGGTGAGGTGAGAATGAGGATTCCTCCCGCTCATGGGGGACCCCAATGGGCAGCAGTTGTGAGGTGGGAGCCCCCCAAGTTCAGCTGGTCTGGCTCCTTTGGGATGAGGGTGGTCAGGGACCCCACAAGCTCAGAATCTAGGCTCCAGGACTAGAGAGCGAAGTGAAGGCTTGAGACATTCGGCCAGTGCTGCGGATAGATCCACCGCTTGGGCTCTTGCCCTCGGGCAGGGACAGGGCCACGGAGCAGGACACGTGGAGGCTCTGCTGCTTCAAAGCCAAGGCCTGGAGGTGAACTCCAGTGACAAAAACTGTGGATGGGCTTGTTCAACGCCTAAACATCCTTCCGGGCCTTTTTGCATGGCTGCAGTGAGAAGAAAGAAAACTACGTTTCCCAGGCACCCTTGCTGCCAAAGCTCTGGATCTGATTTATATTTCGCCAACAGTATCCCTCACAGAGATTTGGATTTGAGAACTAAACTGAGTGGGACAGAGGCAGGCCTCAGGACACCTACTTGCCGGCCCGGCCAGTAGTGGAGGGAACACAGTTCTGCGGTCAGCAGCTTCCTGATGCAGTGGCTTCCTGCAGGTGGGAGCCGCAAGTTGTTCCTGGAAATTCAGCAAGGAGTCTGCTCCTCCAGCCCTTCCAATGATTTTGCAAATCAGGGATGTGATAATAAATGCTGTCAAATTAAACTAGCTAAAGCAGCTCTTGTTTTCTGCAACAGGATTCTAACTGAGACAGACGCCAAGCCTGATGGGAAGTCCCAGCCAACAGCCTGTCCCAGTGCTCGCCTGAGACAACTGTTCCCCTCAGCCTCCCCGCACCCTAAGCCTGGTCACAGAGGCCGGTTTGGACCCTTATTTAAGCCTCTGGGGACCTCCGTCACCCAGTGATGCGTGTCCTGCAGCTGCTTTTGGGCTACCGGGCTCTGCATCAGCCTCGCGTGCCATCATCCTGATTTTAGACCCGCGGGCTGGAAGTTGGTGGCACAGTGACCGTAACACGTGGGTTCAGTGACCGGGTGCCTCCCACAGGCCACAGCATCATCTCTACCTGCAGGTCAGTGGGAGAAACAGGAACTATAAAGCTCTTGGTCCAGAGGTAGAAAGAGAGGTGGTTCTCGGGAACCCTAGGACCAGCTACAGCCTGTGCCCACTGTGGGCTGGGATCAAGGGTCAAATGGCCCACGGTGGGGTGCCGAGCAAGTCTTAGACCTGGAAGCATAAGTGGGTTTCATGTATCTTTCAGGCTGCCAACTGCCGGCAACACTCTTGACACATCCTGAGGTCAGGGCATGTGGGCAGGAGGGAGACAGGGAGAAGCTCCCCCTCCCCGCTGCCCAGAGGATGGGGATGAGGGCTAGGCAGGGGCCGCCCTGAGGAGAAGCCATGTCACATCCTGGGACCAAAGCTGCCTCCCCATCAAGGTCAGAACTACAGGACATCAATGCTGATGGCGTTTAAGAATCATGGAGCATGACCACCAATATAGAAGGGAAATGGAGGCTGAAGGGTAAACACCCAGCCCGAGGCCTCATGGGGTGTGGGGGCTACACTGGACCGGAGTCCTGGCCTCTGTCCCCTGGGCAGAGCTCTTGCTGGTGGCCGTGGCCCAGGTGGCCCCTGTGGGCTCCCTGTGCCGTCCTAGATGCGGACCGTGTTGATCCTCAACGGCTGCACGTTCTTGCCGTTGGCGTGGCTCTGCCCCGGGCTGAAGTAGGAGCAGAGCTTGCCCGGGAACTTCTCGCGGAACGTGTAGAGCCAGGACATGTCGTCGGCGTTGTAGAAGATGAGCAGGCCTTGGTCGTAGTCCAGGAACACGCCCACCTTGTCGAGCTTGTCGCGGACGTTGAGCCGCGTCCAGGGCTCGGTGCAGGCGCTGTACTGGTTGCCATCATGCATGACGATGCAGTAGAAGCCGCGGCTGGGCTGGATCTGGATGCTGCCCTTGCGGCTGGCCGCCTCGTGGGCCAGCCCGATCACCCACTGGGTCTTCTCCGCCACCACCACCTCCCAGTAGTGGACGCCGCTGCTGAAGGCCTCGGAGCCCAGCACCGACACCTCCACGTCGAAGCGCTTTGGCGAGTCCTGCAGCGGCTGTGGGTGCAGGTTGCCATAGGCCACGATGGTGCAGTCGTCGGACAGGATCAGGCGCTGGTGGGCAGTGCCCGGGTCCAGGGTCAGGGCGGCAGGCACTGCAGGGGGCGGAGGAGGGAGGAAAGATAAGTGGGGAGAAGGTTGGGGATCCACTCTGTGGTGTCTCCCCGAGGGCCAGGTTCTGGTTGGTGCCCAGGAGGCTGTGTGATGCTGAACACATGTGATGCCTGCCCTCTCTGGTCCTCAGCTTCCTCCTCTGTAAAATGGAAGGGCGATAGCTGAAGTCCTTCCAGATTTAAGCCTGGCTGCAGGGGAGCAGAAGCTGTGGCTGCTTGTTCGTTGCCAATGCCTGGGGCAAGGACATAGTGGGCACCCCACAAAAGTTTGTTGAGTAAACCATAATGAAATCCAGTATTAGGGAACTTCAGAACTGAGAGAGCTTAAAGATTATCCCAGGTGCTGGTAATCACCCTGGGACTGGGGCATGAGGAAATCTCTGGGGTGGGGTGTGGGTTTTCTCAGTAGGTGGGATCCATGCATCTAAATGCCCTGAATGAGGGGCGCCTGTTAAGCAACCGACTCCAGCTCAGGTCAGGATCTCACAGCTCGTGAGTTTGAGCCCCGGGTCGGGCTCTGTGCTGACAGCTTAGAGCCTGGAGCCTGCTTTGGATTCTGTCTCCCTCTCTCTCTGCCCCTCTCCAGCTTGCATTCTGTCTCTCTCTCAAAAATAAACATTAAAAAAATTAAAAAAAAATTTTTTAAATGCCCTGAATGAAATGCATAGGGAAGTCCCACGACCCCTTTGCCACCCATAAATTTTCAAATGCTCAAGCAGACAATCATGTGGATGAAAAATCATTTTTATAATGACCTAAAATTACAACTTAACTCCCTTTTATGTATAAACAGGAAATCTTTTTTTAAAGTTTTTATGTTTATTTTTGATAGAGAAAGAGAGAGAGAAAGAGAGAGAGAGAGAACGTGAGCAGGGAAGGGGCAGAGAGAGACAGAGACCCAGAATCCGAAGCAGGCTACAGGCTCTGAGCTGTCAGCACAGAGCCCTACCGGGGGACTTGAACCCACAAGCCAGGAGATCATGACCCGAACTGAAGTTGGATGCTTAACCGACTGAGCCACCCAAGTACCCCAGGAAGGAAATCATTTTGTACAGTTTTAACAGGCTGAGTATTACTACCATGTAAACTGAGGGGAGACTGAACTTGGTTTGTTTGGAACTTTGCTGAGAATTGTTCACTTTTCGGGAAAGTATATGTCTGACAAAAATGCCACTGACTCATATAACCTACCTGTTGTGGACCATATGTGAGGCACAGTCGTGTTTCATCTACGGTGTGAGCACCTGACTGCTTCATTATGTTTTCCACTGTGGCTGTGAGTGAGCATGTACAGATCGGCATACACAATATTTTATTATAAATCATTTCCTTCTATTTTTCCTTTACATTGTCATCACAGTATGTATATACATACCTGTATATATACAGTTTTTCAAGTTTATATACATAGTGCAGTTGTGGAAAGGTTATTATTACCTTTGAGACATTGCAAACTATTTGTTATGAAATGTAGGTGACAGGTCTGAAAAAGCGGAAAACCATGGATTCTAGGCTGACTCTTCCACTTGACAGATGGGGAAAATGAGACCCAGGGAGGAAAGGTGACTAATCTCAGGTCACCCAGCACTCAAAGGCAGGGCGAGGACTAAGCAAGGTCATGTGCAATCCAGCCCCAGCTCTACCTGTCACACGTCACTTCCACCACACGCAGCCCCAACACCTTCACCGGGACTGCCCCTCCACTGCCTCCTCCCTGCTTGTTGTAATCACCTCTGCATGAGGCTCAACTCCAGGGCCCATCTTGTGAGAAGCCTTCCTGGTTGCCCACAGGAAGGTGGTTGCTCCCTGGTTGCTCTTTCTTCTGAAATTCCTTAATTTTGTGTTCTGGTTATATAAGGGGTATTGTCTTCTGTGCCCACATCTTTTTGCACCATTTGTACCAGGAGGGTAAGGGCTGTGTACCACGCAGATAGGCTGTCCCTTGTGCGCCCGGTGCCCAGCACAGAGACAGGCATGGTGAGCGTTTCCAGAAAGGCTCACCAAATTAAACTGACCCTTGCTTGTGTTCTCTTGGACAGGTGGCACAGGCTGGGTTATCCTGTTCTGGGCTGGCCACACTGGCTTAGCAGGTCTGGCTCTCAGAGTCTCATGAGCTCTCATGTCAAGGGTTCTATTTACTCTCTCCTCCGTGACGGAGCTGAAGCCCAACCAGAAGATGGAGAACCTGGAAGTGGCCTTCCTGAGCCTGAATGACCATTTCCAGGCCAGAGCAAGACAGAGGCGAGGAAGGGTGAGGAAAAGGAATCCTGCCGCCAGTACCCAGGAGCGAACAATTTCTTCATCCTGCTCTCTGGCGGTTTCGTTATCTGGTGAAACAGGAGCATGACTACACTTGGCTGGAGCCTTACCCCCTCCTTCTATCACCTCTGTTGGCTGCACGCATGCACAGAAATAAAACGCCTCAGTGGTGGCAACTGTCACCAACAGGGAGCAACAGCCAGTTTCTGAACTGGTGCTCCCGTTCACAAGGCCACTAACAAAGCTGACCGTTGACTTACATCAAGCTCTTTCCACGAGCTCTGTTAGGAGTAAATTTAGTTTTGCATTTTACATTCTCCTTTCCTGTTCTTTGAACTCAGAGGGATGCATGGAAACAATTAGCCCTGTGAATAGAGGGGTCAGTCAATGGAATCACAATTCTCTATCCAGGGACATGGAAGAGGGGGAGTCAGGGGAAGGAAGACACTGGATCAGTGGACATATGTTTTACCCTGTGGTCTGAGCGGTCACAGGGCAGCCTGTCAGAACCAGAGGCTCCTGCCACATGGAATGTAGGAATTCCCACAGTGGGGTCAGGAGGTGAGAGGTGGAGGGAGGTGTAGGAAGTTATGTGTGAAGGGAGGCAAGGGAAAGAAAAATCTAATTAGACACAGATGGGCCACTCCTCCCGGCTGTGGAATGCGGGTCACACTCAGGCGTGTACAGAGGAAGGGTTAGAGCACGCACAAAGCCAAGGTGTGGGCAGCGGCAGTTCTGAGTGCCACGCGGGAGCCTGTGGTGCTCAGGATATCTAGGAGGTCAGCAACAGGCAGGAACTGCAGCTCAGGGCAGAAGGACCGTGCGACCCCGCGGGGGAGGGGCGGAGACACTAGCACACCAGATGGAGGGCTCAGCCCCAGACTCTAAAGCCTAATGTGGGGCAACGTGGGCCACTTCTAGTGCCACCGATGAGTGGGGAGGGCGCTCCAGGAGGCAGCCAAGTGGGCTCTCGGTGGTTCTGAGATTGGGCCCACAAAGATGAGCCTGCAGTGCAGAGGAAATCCTGACTGCGTAGAGTGCCAGCTCCTTGGGCGTGGAGCCTCAGCTTGGAAGCCCAGGGGACTGGGTGAGGGCAAGGCCCGCCACTCATTGGGTGGGCCTAGGGGCGGGGCCTGCTCTTCATTGGGCAGTGCTGGCAGTAGAGGCGGGACTAGGCGGAGGTGGGGCCTGATAACTGGGTGCTGGGTTCCACATCTCAGGGGCAGGGCTAGGGGCGGGGCCTGGTATTCTTATTGGCATAGGGCGTGGCCTGATTCTCAGACGCTTTTTACACTCCAAAGGACAGGCTGGGGTCCACCTCCAGGGTCTCCCATCTCCTCATAAACAGAGGTTCTGTCTTCCAAGCCTCCTTCCCACCCTCCCTGAGGCGACGGCTGGCAGGAGTAACAGCCTTCAGACCACAGACAGACCTAGAAGGGGGCCTAGCAACACCTTTTCCCCTCTCTGAGACGTCAGTCCGGGGTGGAGACTGGCAATCCCTCCACCCATCCTTTATCCTTGGGAGAAGTGCCAGATCTCAGCAAAACAAACCAGTCCCCTGGGGTTCACTATAGTACAGATCAGAGCTCTTTTCTAGGTCCTGACACACTGTTTTATAAAAACAAAAAGCAGGTATTGAAGCAGCCCATTTAAGCCTGAGACCTCGAGGTCAAAGGCATTTAGGGCGGGCATGGACTGTGGAGGCCCCAGGAAAATGTCTTCTGGCCATCTTCAACCACACATCACAGGCCCAAGCAGCAGAGAAACCCCCTAGTCAAGTACTATCACTTGGCAGCAGATGGCTGGTTCCTCTTTGTTCTCAAGGACGGTGGCTTGACCCTTCAGAAGCCTGACAGGACAGGAGACGCTGCCAGCTCTTTCCTCTGGCCAGGCCCTTACATAATCCACTGCCCCAGTTCTCCCACCTCTTTGGCCCCCTCTGCGCCATACTGGCATTCGAGAAACACGTTCACACCCACTGGTTCATGGGAATACCACAGCAGCCCCAGGAGTGCAAATTACCATCCCATTTTCCAGAAGAGGAAACTGAGGCTCCAAGGAGACTTCTCTGAGTTAAGTGGCCTGCTCAGGTTGCCACTTGGGGTGGAAGTAGAGTTGGAACTTGAGTTAAAGCCTTGTCACACCGTGTTCTTTCCTCTGTGTGGCTCCAGAAAGCCTGCTCAGCAAGACTGAGGAACCAACTGATTTGTCATTATAATAATGATAAACAAGTATCAAGTTCTTACTAAGTTCCAGGATTATTATCACAAATAGATAATTTTATTTAATTCTTATCCCTAGGCTGGGAGATAAATCACATCTTCTCCATCCCTGTTTTACAGAGGAGAAAACTGGCCCAGAGAGGGCAGTGATTTGCCCTGGGCTACACAGCTAGGTGGTGAGCACGCTGGAACCCACAAATGACTGGATTCAGGTGAGCAGGGGGAGGGGCGAGCCGCCCAGAAGAGGCAGATGGTAAAACCAAAGAAGGCGGGCAGTGTCTGGTGTCCTGGGAGCAGAGGCCACCTGGTCTGGTTGGGGAGAAAGTTTGTGCTTGGGGGCAGCAACAATCAGGCCAGGCAGTTGGAGGAGGCTTTCCAATGTCGGCTGAAGGGTGGGACAGGGGGTGGGGGATGGGTAGAGAGTGGAGGTTCCAAAGCAAGGGGAGTGACAGGTGCTAAATGGAGTTCTCAGATGACCCAATAGGAAGCCCAAACTGGAAGCAGGGCAGGCAGGAAGCTGCTAGAATCCATGGGCTAGTTCCCTGGGGGCGCCTGCCCCTCCCATCTGGACATAAAGGGCCTTGGTGCTGGCAGAGGAGCCATAGTGACTTCACAGGCCCTACAGACAAAGGAAGGGGCCTGGCTAACCAGGTCACTGGTCTCTGAACTCCCCAGGGACCGCTATCCTTGGCAGGATGTTCAGGGCACAGGCTACTGTTCCTTCAGCCGCTCTTCCACGCAGTTTTCTCTGGGTCAGTGGTTCTCAACTGGGGCGATTTGCCTCGCAGGGGTCATTGGACAATGTCTGGAGACACTTTTGGTTGTCAAAACTGGGGAGGGGAGCATCTAGTTGGGTAGATACCAGGAATGAATGCTGCTGAACATCCTATCATGCACAGGACAGCCGCCTAAATAAGGAATTATCCAGCTTCAAATGTCAATAGTGCTGATGTTGAGAAACCCTGCTCTGGGGCAACCAGCAAGTTCCCACATCCATTTACTCACTTGTGAGGGGGTTGGGAAGGGGCTAACAGCCCTATTTTACAGAGGAGGAAACTGAGGCTCGGAGGAGAAGTGACTTGTTCAGGATGTGTGGCAAGTTCCGTTCAAAAATACTTACTGAGTACCTACTTTATTCTAGTAGCAGAACTGAGACTCGGATTCATTCATTTCTTTATTTACTTTTCCACAAACATTTACCGTGCTGGCTGCTCTAGGGATCTACAGTGATGAATTAGACCCAGGGCTGACCCTGAGCTAAAAGTCTAGCGACACAGACAGCTGCACACACATTGACAAAAGAGTGAGATCAGAAAAGTGCAGGGCTACCTGAAGAAACCCAGGAAGGCTTCCCAGAGGAGGTGTTTATAAACTAAGACATGAAGGGGAGCAGGAGTTAGTCATCAAAGCCTGAGGTTTGTGTAGAGGGCACAAGGGAGCAGCATGTGTGAAAGTGGAGGAGGGAGAATATGGCTCATTTAAGACCTGAAGATGGTTCGGTGTGGCTGAGTACGATGTGGAGGGGAGAATGAGAGAATGGCAGGGCCCAGGTCTTATAGGGCCTGGATTGTCAGGCTGAGGTCCCTGGATTGCCTCTCTAAGCTGTCACAAGGATGCAGCAGGTGGTAACTGAGACAAATAGAGCTCCTGAGACCAGCTGCCCGAGGGGCTGCCCTGGGTCAATGGTGGGGGACGCGCTTCTTGCTTCCTTGAGTTATGCTGTTTCACCCATGTGTGGCCCTCATCCTGCTGGGTCTCAGTGTGGAGGTCCCTCCACGTCTAGGAGCACATAGAGGCTAGAAGGACCCCAAGAGGATAACCCAGAGTCCCCCCAGTCTGCTGGAAAATGCGCCCTTCCCCAGACTAGGCACAGATCCAGATTTAAGAGTACCAGGAATGGGGTGCCTGGGTGGCTCAGTTGGTTAAGTGTCTGACTTCGGCTCAGGTCATGATCTCACAGTTTGTGAGTTTGAGCCCCACGTCGGGCTGTGTGCTGACAGCTTGGGGCCTGGAGCCTGCTTCAGATTCTGTGTCTCCCTTTCTCTCTGCCCCTCCCCTCCTCACACACTCTCTCTCTCACAAATAAATAATTTGTGTGTGTGGGGGGGGGGTTGCGCCTGGGTGGCTCAGTCAGTTAAGCATCCAACTTTGGCTCAGGTCATGATTTCACGGTTTGTGAGTTTGAGCCCCACGTTGGGCTCTGTGCTGATGACTCAGAGCCTGGCACCTGCTTCTGATTCTGTCTCTGTCTCTGTCTCTCTGTCTCTCTCTTTGCACCTCCCCTGCTTGCAGTCTGCCCCTCTCTCTCAAAAAACAAATAAACATTAAAAAAAATTTTTTTTAATAAATATTTTTTTAAAAAATTAATAAAAAAAAAAAAAAGTACCAGGAGCTGTCCCTTCACTCCTGGGAAATCAGTATTGATACATCAAGTGTGGTCCTCAGACACCTACAGGGGAGCCCCATCTCTGTCCAGCATTCACATGCTCAGTGGTGCCTTCAGCCTCTCTCCATCCCTACCTGGAAGGCCCGATCATGAGCATCCTGGGTTCATTCATGCTCCTCCCCCACTGCCTTTGCCCATGCAGCTCCCCACACTGGGGACAGTCTGGAGGCACCACCAGGCCCCAGCCTTCCCCGAGTGGCAAAGCCATCAGCCTTCAGCGCCCGGTTCAGACATCTGTTCCTAACAGCTCTGTGCCTGCTTTCTCATCTGAAAAAATGAGGATAATAATAATGCCGACCTCTGAGGGAGGATTCTCCTTTATATCCTTGTCTTACCTCTAAAGGACGTGGTGCCTTTGTAGGTTGTATGATTTCGGGTGCCAGGGTCTACTCACTCTACTAGAAACCTGTTCAGACCTTCTCTCCCAGCAAACCTCCCATTACCTCCTCTCGCCCATCATCATCTCGGAGGATGACCTTGCTTCCTACCTCGCTGGGAAAGGGGAGGCTATGGGCAGAGCGTTCCCTCAAGCTCCCACCGCTGCCCATTTATTCTCCCTCCTCTGGGCTCCTGAAGATGAGCTGTCAGAAGAGGCAGCAGCAGACCCCACTCCTGGCTGTCCCTGCAGCACCTCTGTCTGCCCTGCATCCTCGGTTTTGCCACTGGGTCTTTCTCATCACCCACAGATAGGCTGTTACTTCTCCCACCTTCAACAGCCTCTGCCGCCTTCTCGCTCCTTCCCTTAAATAAAACTCCTTGAAAGCACTGTCTCCACTCGCTCCCCTCCCATTCTCTCTTTTTTTAATTTTTAGAGAGGAGTGCGTGTGCAAGCAAGCATGAGCGAAGGCGGGGCGGGGTGTGGAGAGGGGGGGGGATTCCAAGCAGGCTCCACGCTCAGCCTGGAGCCCAATGCAGGGCTCGATCCCACGACCCGGGGATCATGACCTGAGCTGAAATCAAGTTGGATGCTCAGCCAAATCAAATCAACTGACTGAGCCACCCAGATGCCTCATGTCCCTTTCTCTCTCTCGGATAGCTTCCTCTCCGGCTTATGCCCCTGTGGCTCCACCAAAGCTCTTGTCACTGAAGACCTCCATGTTGCCAGAGAACAGTCAGTTCCGTGTTCTCTCACTTGGCTTAGCGGCCTTTGTTGCCATTAGCCACTCTCTACTTGGCTTCCAGGACTCACCCAGGTTCCCCTCCCACTTCTCTGGCTGCTCCTTCCTGATCCTCTTGGCTGGGTCTCCCTCCTGTCCCTAACCTCTAGGAGTGCCCCAGGGCTCCAAAGTTTAGAGTGACTTCATCTCTCTTCTCTCCACTCTCACTTTCTAGGTGATCTCACCTAGGCTCATCAAATACTGTCCACGCGATGCCGACACTGCCCTGACCCTTGTCCTGTACTGCACATGTCATCCCGACTGCCTTCTCTACACCTGCACTTGGACGTCTCATCGGTACGGCAGACCTCACACGCTTGCAGCTCTGTCCTTCCAGGCGCCTCAGCCCAAATCGCTGTAGTTTCCTTGTCTTCTTTCTCTCCCGCCCCAGTTCTCTCCCATTCATTAGCAAATCCTGGTGGCTCTCCCTTCAGAATACGTCTTAAATCTGATCACTCCTTTCTACCTCCACCGCCATCACCCTGCTCCAAGCCACCATCACCTCGCAGTATTATTGTGGTAGCCTCCTACCCAGTTTCCCAGCCTCCACCCTCCATCCCCTTCAGTCCGGTCTCAACCCAGCAGCAAGAGGGAGCCGCTAGGAAGTTAAGCTCACGTCACTGCCTGTCCCCAAACCCTCCAACGGCTCCCATCTCACTCAGCGTGAAATCTGAAGTTCTCACGCTGGCCTGTAGGCCCTCACGGGCTGGCCACTGCTGCCTCCCTGACCTCCGCACCTCTACTCTCTTCTACTCTCGCCACATGAGTCTCCTCACTGTTCCTTGTACATGTCAGGCTTGCTCCGCGTCAGGGCCTTCATACTTGCTATCCCCACCGCCAGGAACACTCTTCCCTCAGAAACCTGCATGGATCACTCTCCTTCTTCCTTCAGGCCTTTACTTCTTCTTCTTTTTTTTTTTTTTTTTTTTCAGTATTTATTTATTTTTGAGAGAAAGTCGGGGAAGTGAGAGAGAGAAAGAATGGGCAGAGAGAGAGAGGGAGAGAGACAGAATCCCAAGCAGGCTCCGCACTGTCAGTGCAGAGCTCAATGTGGGACTCAACTCCACAAACTGTGAGATCACGACCTGAGTTGAAATCAAGAGTCAGACGCCCAACTGAGTGAGCCTCCCAGCTGCCCCCAGGCCTTTACTTCTATGCTTCCTTCTCGGTGAGGTCTTCTAACTGGGTCCTCCACCTAAAATCTCTATCCTACCTCAACATCCCCTCGCTCCCTTCCTTATCTTTTATCCTTATCTAATGAACTATGGATTTTACTTATTTACTTTTATTTTCTCTCTCCTTATGATGTAAGATCCACAAAGGCAGGGTTGCCTGTGTTGCTTACGGCTACATCTCCAACACTTAGACTAGCACCTGGTGTGAAGTAGGGGGTTTGATATGCGCTGAATGTATAGGATGGATGAATGAACTGTCCAACGCCTCAGTCTCTTCATCTGGAGAATGGATACACTAATGGAACCGACCTCATGGTTGTAGGAGGACTCGCTGAGCTGAGTGATTACGCAGGTGCCCAGCACGAGCCCTGGAACACAGTAGGTGCTCAGCAAGAAACTCTTCTCATCCCTCTGCCCTGCCCCCAGGCTGTGATTAGAGCAGGCAGCTGGGCTGGGATGTAACCCCCCTTTAGCTCCTGCCCAGGATAACCCTTGCCTCTTTGTTGGCCCTGTTGGTAACTGGCAGGAAGGGCCTTACCTGGGTGGATGTCCTGGAACAGGGACTTCCAGATGGTGTACTGCAGGGGGCCTGTGTACTTGGAGGTCGGGAAGTCTTCGTAAGTCAGATTGGTCTCATGGATTTTCCCTTTAAGCCTGAAAGGGAAGCAGGAGAGCAGGCTGCATTGGGGGGCCGGATTTCTGTCCCAACACACGGGGGGGCCCCACAGCCACCTTCAGGGCAGCTGACAGGGAGCAAGGCCGTGTATTTAAAGTCTGCCAGCCCTAGGTTCAAGTGCCTGCTTGTGCCACTTCCTACCTCTCCTAGCCTCAGTTTCCTTATCTTTAAAATGGGTGCTATGATAGCACCTGCCTCCTAGGCTTGTGGTGAGGATTACATGGCGCCATGTATGTACAATGCTTATCACCGTGCTTGGCTCACGGTCAACACCAAATATGTGATGTTAACTGTCAGTATTGATCATCAACAGACCGATAATTAAGTGTTATTATTTCTAACGGTGGCGATGGGACAAGAGAGACCTGGAGTTGAATCCTGGCTCTGTCATATACTAGATGAGGGGCCTCGGCCAATTGACGTAGCTTCTCTGTGCCTGTTTCTACACGTGTGAAATGGAGATGACAGCAAGGGAGCTAATAGGATTATAATAATATAAATATTATTTATTATCAGTAATATCAATGTTATTATAAAGACTATAATATATACTTGTACTATAACATAAATAACATTGTACTGTAAGTAATATTCTATGATTCTACTTATTACATATAGAACGATAGAAACACATAAAGCCTTAGACCAGGCTCTGGCACACAGCCAATGCCCCGTAACTGTCTGATGAAGATGTGAGTGAATGAATTCTCTGCTAACTACCCCATCTGCCTCCAGGGCCATCTCCCCACACAGGCTGGGGACGGGATGCCCATCTGGGGAAGGCAGCCCGTGGCGGGCACGTACCGCTCGGACAGGGAGGCCACCCCAGCCAGGAAGGTGTGTCGGTCGGTTTCGGCCAGCCGCTCCTGCAGGATCTGGGCCCCCTCCTGCACCTTGCGCAGCTGCTGGCTGTAACGCTGGACTTTCTGCTCAATGTCGGTTAGCGTGCGGGCCGTGTCGGCCTCCAGCTCCTCCAGCATGGCCTTCTGCCGCTCGCGCAGTAGCCGGTGCAGCCGCTCGAAGGCCTCACCGATGGTGGTCCGCAAGCTTTTGGTGGAAGACTGTGGGGACAGTCATCAGGGGTTATGCCAAGGGGAGCAGATGGGGTGACCCCTGGGAGAGAGGAGGAAACCGAGAGCCGTGGCACGGCGAGAGGAAAGGGCGGGGAAGGGCACACTCCGTGGTGGGAACGGCACCTGTTAAAGTGCAATGGCATGTCAGGCTGGCATGGCCGGGGATGGCACACACTTCCACGTGCCCATCAGGACACTCATAAAGTGCTCTGGGTGAGACACTGAGGCTTGCACTAGAGGGGCTGCAGGCTCGAAAGACATTTGGGGAGAGTCTCTTTAGCCCTGGTGACTGACAGTCTGGCTGTAGGGGTACGGGAAAGAAAGGTGTGAGGATGATGCCCAGATTTCTGGCTTGGGGGTGGGAGGGACAGAGAAGCTGGGGGAGAACAGGGGGGCAGGAAAAGACGCTGAGTTCAGTCCAGGATACAGTGAGGTCTTTCTTTAAAAAAAAAAAAAAAATCACTCAGGGGTGCCTGGTTGGCTTAGTCAGTACAGCATAAGATTCTTGATCTCAGGGTCGTGAGTTCAAGCCCCATGTTGGGCATGGAGTCTTAAAAACAAACAAACAAACAAACAAACAATAAAATTAAAATTTAAAACATCACGCATGGGGTTCAAGCAAAGACGACAAGGAGATCACGGATGGCAGAGAGCTTTATAACCTGCAATGTGCCGGGCAAACCTTGGCGGTCGCTCATCCTTGAGACCCCCTGGCTGAAAAACAAGAGCTGGAGGCGAAAGCCATGATCACAGGAGGCAAGACTGGACTTGCACATTTCTCTGTTCCCGCAGGCGTTGGCAGGCCCAGGAGGGGCCTGAGCGGTGCAGGGCGCGGGCTTTGGTAGCCGCCAGCCTGGGTGAGAATCCCAGCTCTGGGTCTCTAGCTGTGGAAACCTCGGTTGCCTAATGTCTCTGAGCCTCTTTTCTTCTCTGTGAAAGGGGTAACGCAACCACGTCGCAGGGTTCTGGTGAAGACTAAGCGAGGGCACGTTCACAAAATGCACGCCATTGTCTGAAGTGCAGAAGAAGAGCCTGGCTATTAAAGGGGATCCATTCTAACAGGCACACCCTAAAAGTCTTCACTGAGAGATGGCTTCTGAGCTGGGGCCCGAAGGAGGGGCAGGATGTCAACCGGGGGTGCGGGGAGCAGCCGGAGTCAGGACAACGCGGGGTACAGAAGTGTGGCCGGGCAGCAGCAGCGTGTGGGACCTGCCTCTGCAATTTTACTTTGTGGGATTCTGGCTGGGAGTTCACAGAGTCAGAGACCCCGCTGTGTTCAGTGCCCAGGGCTCTGTGGGAGGTTCAACAAAGGCTCAATTAGGGCCAGTTCCCTCCTGTCGCGGCAGCAGGAAGAAGTGCTGGCAGTGGGCCAGCCTCCCCGCGCATGCCCACCCAGAGCGCCAGGCAGACAAAGGGGGCGGGGGAGAAGCTGGGGATGAACAGCCAGGCTGCTTGTGGCCTCCCTGAGCCCCTTCCTGCACCCTGAGGCTTCTGTGCGGGTCACGGCGGGGGTGACGGGGCCTGCCCTTCCTGCGTCATCTGCTGCTGCCCTCCAAGGACCCCCAAATCCCACGGCCACCCCTTCCCGCTCCTTCTCAACCCCTCTAGGACAGTGTTTGGTGCACTGGCCCCCCTCTACCGGCGGCAGGTTCTGGTTTGCCTCCCACCTCTATGGCTGCTCTCTCTGGGCCAGCTCCTTCCATTCTCACCTACATGGCCTCCTTCCTGTTTGACCCCATGGCTTTGAGGATGGCTCCCGTGTCCTTAGCCATGGTCTTGAGTGTCTCCTGAGCACCACATTCATCCTTCCACCTGCCTCAACTACACATACTCCTGGGATCCCACAGCCCATCCAGCTCTCTCGGTCCGCAAGTCAACTCTGGGTCTTTGGCAACAAATTCACTGCCAGAGTGATCCTTCTGATGTGCAAAGTGGGTCAAAGCCAATGTTGTGTTTAGGAACATTTCTTGGCTCCTTGATAACTAGTAAAACACTCGATTCCTTAGCCTGGCATTCAGAGTCCTCAATCTGACCCCAGCTCACCTCTCTAGTGCCACTGCATTGTAATTACACCTGCCTAGAATGGGCCCCACCCCCAACAAACTCTTTATTCAACAGGCAAACAAACTCCTACTCATCCTGCAAGACCCAGCTTGAAAGCTACCTCCTCGGTGACATCTTCCCTAACTTTTTCAGGCAGTTAAATAGTTAAATGTCTCCAGAGCATTTTGTAAATATTCCTAATACACAGTCTCACATTTTATGTGGCTCCAGCTAGTGGATGAACCCCCCAGGGGTAGGAATGACGTCTTTTTCAGCCTTGCGCTTCCTGTGCCCATCCCAGGGCCTGGCACAGGCTGGCAGTCAGAACCTGCTTGAGAGGTGAAGGGGGAAGAGTCTTGCCAAAAGTTGCTCTGCAGAGGTGAGTGCAGACTCTGTCTTCTTTTTAGGGTACGGGCTAGTGTCTCCAGGACGAAAGAAGATGGGTAGGAAAAGGGAGACAGGCAGGGAGAGGTCAGCTCAAAAGAACAACATCGGAGTGACAGCCAGCCACCACACGTGATTCAAGGCTGTCCCTGAAAGGTCCTCCCCCCTCCCAGCCTACCTGTCCTATTGACCACAAAGCCATAGATCTTGCTGAGGACACCCCAGCACACGCCTGGAATATGCCAGAACTAGGTTCTGACAAAACTGGACAGTAAGCTGCCAACTAGCCACTTACTAGCTGTGATGCCTTAGGCTTGTTCCTCAACCTCTCTGTGCCTCAGTTTCCTTGCCAATAAAATGGAGATAACATTCCTCCATCAAAAATTGCCTCCCCCCCAACCCCCCGCACACACTCACTTGTTCTACAACTACTTATTGTGTGTGGGAGGCACTGTGCTAGGTTCTGGGGAGTCCCGCTGTCATAGAGATGACATTCCGTGGGGTTCAGTGAAACAATGAATGGGAAACACAATTACCCGCACAGAGAAAGGTTCCACTCAACCGGTGTGCCCCGTTTATTCTAGTTTCTTTCTAGGGCAGAGCCACCCCCACCCCACCCCCAGTCCCTTTGGTGCTGTGGCTGGGAAAGTAGCCCCTACCCCAGCCCACCACATCCCTGGGAATCCACTGGGGCTTGGAGGAATTGGGGCTGCTTCAGAAAAATACCCTGCCAAGAATGCGTCACTTGGTCAGGACCGACCAAAGAAAACACTGGGCCTGGGGAGGGAGATCAGACAGGCCCTCAGGCTGGGCCACTGGAGGGGCAAGCTCTGCAGGAAAGCCGAGTCAGGCACCAGGTGAAATATGACCTCCAAAGCATCCATAGGCATTTCTTGTATAAACACCCCAGTCCAGACAGGAAGCAGGGCTGGGGGAACTGGAGGGGGAGCTGGCCCCACAGGACCCCCCAGAGGTAGACAGATGGACAGGAAAGCAGGGGAGGAAAAGGTCAGTGGAGAAAAACAATGGGGAGTGGAGAGAAGAGATTGCTGGGGGGAAAAACCAGACCATAATATTCTGCTCTCATTCACACAGAGGCTTCCATTAGCTTCTTTTCACCTGAGAGGTGCTGAACCACCGGACAGATGGGGAAACTGAGGCTATGGGAGGCAAATAGGCTAGAGTCCTCTAACTGTTCTCATCTGTTGCCTGCTGAGGGTCCTGCCTGCAGGCAGTCCAGAATGTTCTCTGAAGAAATGTTTGTCATGACCTTCCCAAGACCCCACACGGGTTGGTGGCCAAGCCGAGGCACAGATCTGGATCTCCAATGGCCTCTCCGGGCCCCAGGCTGACCCCTCAGAGGCCCAGAAAATTCCTAAGGCTCTGCTCCAGCTGCTGCCGGCAGCTGCACCCCTGCTAGTGAGTGGGGCCAGGCTGAAATCACTGTAGAGGTTAGCAGCTGGGCCTGGGCCCCCAGTTTTTGGTCCCAGAAAGGGCAGAAATCAAAGCAAGCCTTGTCCCGTTGGTGAGACATCTGTGGGGGGAACTCAGAGGGAGCCCACGGGATCTAGAACTTCAGGGCTGCGAAGACCTTGGCAGAGTCTCCATTGTACAGATGGGAAGACTGGGGGCCCAGAAGAGTATGCAGTTTAGCCAAAGTCACACAGTGTGTTAGTGGCTGGATCAGAATCCAGGGCCTCCTTCTCAGGTCAAGAAGAAGCCTTTCTTTTCAAACCACCGCAGCCAGAGACTAGAGGGTTTGGCCCACTGTCCGAGTTTAAGAGGGGGGATGATACAAAGGCTGGGTCACAAATCATCAGGAGGGCTTCGAGGGCACATACTCAGGGTTGGCTCCTCTGGCAATGCGCCAGCGTGGTTTTGTTTTTTTAATATTTATTTACTTGAGAGAGAGAGAGACAGAGACTGATCACAAGCGGGGGAGGGGTAGAGAGAGACGGAGACACAGAATCCGAAGCCCCAGTTGGGGCTCAAGCCCACTCACCATGAGATCACGACCTCAACCCAAGTGGGAGGCTTAACCAACTGAGCCACCCAGGTGCCCCTGGGTGGGCGTGTTTAATAAGGCGAGAGGAAAAAGAGACCAGGTACATTCTCCCAGCCCTGCAGGACTGGGAGTTCTCCTGAGGGTCCCTGGTCCCACCTCACCTTCCACCCAGGGCAGGAAGGGAGAAAGAGCCCCACCCTTAAAGCCAGGCACCAGCCCAAATCATTGCCCTCAGTCCTGGGAATGGGTCCTGTCCCGTTTACATTCAGGTGAGCCCCAGCCTCCGTTCCACACCCCCCACCCCAGCCCCTCTCAGAATACGCTTGGCACCTTTACGCCCCGCCCCCTCTTCCTAGACGGCCCCGCCCCCACGCCCCGCCCCCCCCGCAGGACCCGCCCCTGCGCCCAGGCCTGGCTCACCTTGGTTTCTGCCAACTGTCGCTTGAGCAGCTGCAGCGCCTCCGTGTGCTCCCGCTCGCTGTCCTGAAGGGCCTGAAGCTGCTCCTTCAGCTCCCTCTGGAACAACACGAGGCGGGGATGGGTGACCCAGAGCCGGGGCCGACCGCCGTCGCGCTCCCCAGACCTGGCCCAACATCCTCCTCCCCGCACAGCTCAGTAACCCCCAAGTCTCCCAATATCCAGGCTGCTTTCATCTTCCCATCTCTCATCTGGAGTTTTGCAACAGCCGCCTCCCTGGCCATCCTAGGAGCTTGTGGTCTTCCTGCCTCCAACCCGCCTCCACATACATTCTGCCCCAGCCTGATTTGCCGGCAGACACTCCCCGCTTAGAATCCTCCCGTGGGTACCAAGGCCCGCTGTTACGGCTAACGCGTCCAGTGTGGGCTAGGCGCTGTCCTCAGTCCTTTGCTTGCATTGGGTCATTTAATCCTCGGAATGACACAGAGGTAGGCACTATTAGCCCCATTTTTTGACGTTAAAATTGGTACCGAGAGGTCAAGAAACTGGCCTGAAAGCATGCAGCTAAGCAGGTAAGGGTGAAGCCATAATTGGAACTCAAGCAGTCTGGTTCTGGAGACCATCATCTCGAGATGAGGTGACACGTCTTCCATAGTGATGACGCCCGTGACAAACAGCGACAAAAAATCCATGAAACACAACATCTCAAAACTTCAGATAAGGACAGGATCAGCAGTACTGACTTTTCCTTTGCCTCAGGTTCCAGGATAGCTCAGCACGACCCTGCTAGTGATCCGGTTTTTTGTTTAAAATGTTGATATTTTTGGGGCGCCTGGGTGGCGCAGTCGGTTAAGCGTCCGACTTCAGCCAGGTCACGATCTCGCGGTCCGAGAGTTCGATCCCCGCATCGGGCTCTGGGCTGGTGGCTCAGAGCCTGGAGCCTGTTTCCGATTCTGTGTCTCCCTCTCTCTCTCTGCCCCTCCCCCGTTCATGCTCTGTCTCTCTCTGTCCCAAAAATAAATAAACGTTGAAAAATAAATAAATAAATAAAAATAAAATGTTGATATTTTGTTCATCATGGGGCTTTTTGCTTTCATGTTGATTTTTTTAAAAATTGCATTAAGTCTTCTCCATCTCGATCACTGAGTTTGGGGGTGACTGCTTCAATGTCGCGCCTCACGCTAGTCCCACGGCTGTCTCCACCGCCCTTCTCCCCTCACTCCCATCTGGCCAAAGCGGCCTTCTTCCTGCTGCTCCATCATAGGCTGGTCTCAGCCTCCTGACTCCGCCCTTGCTACCTCCTCTGGCCAGTGCACTCTACTCAGGTTTTCTGGTGCCCGTCCCTTTGTGTCATTAACATAACAGCTCAGAGGCCACCTCCTCAGAGAGGTCTTGCCTGGCCACCCCACGTACAGCATCATCCCCTACACCCACATCCTGTTATGTGGTCTTCCTAGCACTTTCTGCTGCCCAAGATGCTTTTGCTCACTTATTCGACAGTGTGTTACTACTCGTCTCCTCCACAGAATGTGACTGTCATGAGGGCAGGAGTCTTGTCCAGCTTGTTGTATCCCCGGTGTTTGGAAGAGTTTTCAGCACACAGTAGGGCCTCAATACATATTTGTCAAATGAATGAATGTGGTTTGAGGTGCGCATCCCCAGTACAGGTCCAGCTGTCTGCATTTATTGGGCATTTAGCCCGTTGTATCGTAACTAGTCCTCCTGTCTGTCCCTAGTGCATCCCCATATTAGCCCAAGTCCAACGGGGGGGCCCTTACCATTCCCCGCTCTATTACCCCCTGCGTGCATCCACAGCCCAACACTAAGATGGGGCTCAAGGAAGTTTGCTTTGTGGATGAAAGCCTCTGAGCAGGGTCCAGTTTTCCCAGTCACCTTGCACTGCGAGCGATGCCAGGGAGCTGACTTACCTGTTCACCCTCACCTCCCTCCACTCACTCAGCTCATTGCCCTCAGAAAACATCTAGTCCCACTAATTTTACAGACTAGGTAGCAACATGGGAAGATGATCATGATGCCTCTCTAAAGGAAGAAAGCAGAAAACAAAATTACCTTTGCTTCCTATCCCTTATTCACGTGACAAATATTTGAGCAACTACTATATCCAGGCACTGTTGAGGCACGGGGGATACAGCAGAGAACAAGACAGACAGTCCATGCCCACAGGGCTCCTCCAGTGTAGCGGGGGAGAGAGATAATTAGCAAGGGAAATAACAAAACAACCAGGTAATTAAGGATTATGGTCTGTACTCTAGAGAAAATAAAGCAGCGTGGGACGGGACGGGGCGGTGGGGGGCAGGGGGGAGTTGGGGTAGGGTGGTCAGGGAAGGCTTTTCTCCTCTGAGCTGCCACCTGAGATGACACACAGCCACAGGGTGGGGAAGAGCCAGCCTCGGAAACAGCAGTTGGACAGGAAGCCAGGAGCGGCCTGGACTGTGATGGCAGAAAGCTCACACAGAACATAATGGCTGGCACTCAGGTAAAGACGGATGTCGCAAGCTGAAACCAGAGGGGTAGGAGGAGGAAGGAGCCTGGGTCCCTGATGACTGTGGGGTGCACTGCTCAGCGATGAGCTAGGAAGCTGCCCCCCCCCCCCCAAAAGCCCCTGATTTATAGTGTTGGCCAATTTCTGTGGTGTAAATACTCCCACCAAAGCCGATTTCAAGGGATCAATGTGAGGTCACCGGGCACAGTCAGCTCACAGGCACTAGAGCAAGCTGGCTCCAGCACACCGCTGCCCCGGGGGCCTTTCCTCCAGGCACGTTTTATGGGAGAGAGAAGCACAAGAGAGAAGCAGCGTACCATCTAATTGCAGCTGCTTAGTCAGGTGTCTGTTACGAATAGCCAAGAGTCATTCCTAACAGGTCCATGCGCATCTGAGTCATTGGAGCAGACAAATCTCATTCACCTAAGTGCGAAGAATGATCGCTCCTTGGGCCCTTCCTGACAGTCCCGGGTCTGGCCGGCTTGGGATGTGGCTAACACGCAGATAATCGGAGGGATGAGCCGGGTACGCCGATCCCCTGCCTTGGTGTCCTCATGGCTTCACTTAAGACTCATGAGTCCACATGAGACTCAGCTCCCCAAGCGGCTTCTCAGAGTCTCACAAAACTGCTCTGGAGGCAGAGTTGCTCACATTGCAGAGAGAACCCCAGGAACTTGGACAAATCACTCCCTGCTTCCAGGGCTGAGGAACAAGGGGAACAGGCCTGCCCCTTCCTCCTGGACCCCAGGACAACGGAACGCTCCTTTGCCCATTCCAAACCCGTGCGGAGGCCTCCTTGGGCCCACATGGTGCTGTGGCAGCAACAGGCAGAGGGATGAGGGACAAGTCCCAACCCATGATGCCTCAGGAGGGTGCACATGAGTTGGGGGAAGACAGGGACACACACGTTACCATGGCAGAGAATGCTGGAATAGGGTTAGGAGAGACCAAACTTGCTGCTCTTCCCATGGGCCCATCTCAGTGAAGGCCGCCCCCACCCCCACTGCCATCCAAGCGAGAAATGAAGGTGTCATCCTTGCCACTGTCCACCAACTGATGCGATCAGTCATCAGGTTTGGCTTGCAATCTGTTCTCTCCTCTCTACACCCACTGCGTCTGGTTTGGTTTTCACCCCTGCTTTTCTGGACTGTGACCCTAGGCTCTTCTCTGCCCCTGCATTCTCCAAGTGCCCCTGGAGTGACTGCTATACGGGACAGATCTGTCCATGCTTCTCCCCCATACCCTACTGCAGGATTTCCATGTTGTCTGGGAAGACGGGCACAGAGCCCGAGCATGGCACTCAAGGCCTTCACCACTGGCTCCAACTTCTTCTCCAGCCTTATCTCTCAGTCTTGCTCTGCACTGTCCAATACAGCAGCCACTTGCCACGTGTAGCTATTAAAATGAAAATGATTTGAAATTACATAAACCTGAAACTCAGTTCCTCAGCTGCACGGAGGCATTGGGTTGCCCATTTTCAAGTGCTCAATAGCCACATGTCACCAGTGGCTACTGTCTCAGCACAGATGCGGAGCACCAGGAACCATCTGGCCAAACCCTCCGGATTTCTTTAACAGGAAACTGAGGTCCGAGGAAAAGGACTGACTGACCCACGGCCACACAGCTTGACAGAGGAGAACCAACCAGAAAACTGACTGCCAGCAGAAGTGAGACAGAAAACAGGAAGCTGTTGATAAACTCTTGAGTGGTAGGACTATGGCTCTGGAGAAGGGCAGAGGCGAGGTTTGGGCTCACGGGGCACAGGTCACCTAATTCTCACAACAACCTCATGAGGTTCGTGCCTTTATCATCTCTGTCTCACGGAGGGGGAAATAGAGGCACACAGAGGTCAGACAGCCTGCCTAAGGTCACATGGCCCCACTTCCAAATCTGTAAAGTGCAGCTTAATACCAGTGCCGGCTCCGTGGTCGGGAGGATTTGGTCACTTAATTCATAACCTGACAGGACGCACAGGATGTACTCAGTCACTCTTCATTGTTGTCAGTCTCATCATAATCATCCCAATTACATGTGAAATAGGGAGTCAGAACTGGCAGAGGGGCCAGGAGAGGGTTTATTTCTGATGGAAAGCCCAGGGAAGATGGACGGATGGGCAGGGTTCCTTCAGATCTCCTGGGTGGGGCCTAAGCATCCCAGGTGGAGAGACTAGTCGTGTAGGGGCACCCCTGGTGGTGTGCAGGAAGTCGGGGGGGGGGGGCAGTTGGGGATGATGGAAGCTAGGTGTGGACAGGTGGGTGGAGTCACGAGCTGGAAAGGCCAGCGGGGCTCGCTGGGGCCCGAGTAGGAGGTGGAGGAGCCCTTGAGGGTCAGCTTGGGGGAGGTGGACTCTGAAGGCCCCATCAGAGCAGGGGGGAGTCAGGAGGGACAAACGTCAGAGGGCAGAGCCACATCTCTGTACCCCTTCCACTGGACAGGGAGCAGAGTCAGGGCTGGTGGACAATTATGCAAATGTCAGCTGAGAGGCTCTGGGCTCCCATAGGTTTGGAGAGGCCAGGACTGGGGCAGCAACTGTGGGGAGGATAGAGAGCCAGGGCTCATATGCTCCCAAGGCCAGACCTCCCCTCCCGTGGGGTCA